ACACAAAAAGCAACATATTTATAATAAAAAGATAACTAGAGGAGTACCCCTTGAGCGGTGGCAAGGTCTCAGCCCCTTGTTGAACCAAGGCCCGATTCACCCCACCAGCCCCAGCATCAATTGGTCGATTAAGCAATTAGATGTCAGCAATACCTTTCTTCAAGACCACAACCACTTTACTAATGCATCAACATGTGTCAACCCACCAGGGGTTCATGATCAAAACAATCAAACCAATATATGTTATCTAGAACAAGCTCTATAAAACCTCAAACAAGCTCCTCATACTCGCGCCTGTTTGCGGGAGTGGCGGGGCTTTATCGCTACGTGAAGAAAGCGGAAAAACGGAAGAACGGTCGTTTAGATGAGCCCCTTCATTGAACTTCCCGTCCACCATAAAGTTTTCACTGGCGAAATTTTGAACGCGACGAGGCCGAAGCTTTCAGACCGAGCTTCGGTGTTAAATAAGTAAAAAATTCAATGTTATCCTTTTGATTCATTTCCTTGTCGTTGTGATCAGCTTCCTATCAATGCGATTAGCTTTGGATTTGATTCCCCATTGCTCCGATTAGCTTCTTATCATAATTCGTCGATGTAGTGGCTACAATTTCTTCCTCATCTGCAACGACAGTGACTTCTTCCTCTTCCATGTAATCTTCATACATGGATAGAAGGGATATTCCTTCAGTTTCCGCTGTCATAGCCGCCGCTCACAGAAGAACGAAAAGTTTGATCCGAATTTCCTCCTCACTGTACCTAGTCCTTGTAGCTGGATTTGAGAAGGATTTATACAGGATTTAATGTAAATCCTGCCAAACAACAAAAAAAAATAAATTTAAATCCTATAGACTTTAAATCTCGTTTCTTCTCCATTGTGCTTTAAATCCCGGATTTAGCATATCCCATTGAAATGTAGATTTACGGAATTTAGCGGAACTTATGCGCGTGAAGGGGTTGAGATGAAGGAAGAGAAAGACGAAGGTTGGTCATGTAGGAGCAGAGTGGAAAGGGGAGTTTTACAATTTTCCCCCTGGACAGGTTATGTTCAGATGATTGTTGCATCGTCGAAGAAGAATAAATTGAGCTCGCGATTGAAGTGGATGATGGATTGATGTGAAGAGCTAGTCTTTTTATCTTAGCGCGTAATAATTAAAAGTGCTAAAATGTCAATATAGCATTCTTCAATCAAACATTAATTTATAACTTATGACACGCAAGTTTATAAAGAAGCTTTCTCGTCTATTGCATTTAAACGAGCTCTCAAACAATAAAGCCCCCTCAAAAAAATGCCTTGGCATATCAACAATCTTGTCAATTCTTCCTACCTCTTGGCTACATTAATTCAAAGTAGTATACATTGTTGTTTATCTACTCCCAACAAAAGAAAGAGTTGTATTACAACATACATCAATCACATTATCCTCACGAATAATGGCAGCAACCTCCTTCAACAAATCACGCACCCCCCTTGGCCCAATGGTTAAGAGCTTTATTTCCAACAAAAAGATCTTGAGTTTAAGGCCTAGCACATATGGGTGCATATGTGAGTTTAAAAAAAAATTCCTTCAACAAGTCACCAACAGTTTGCTTCAAAACTTCCTACAAAAATCTTGGATACAACATATATTCTTCGGTGTTAAATTCATCCCTTCCATTCAAGGTATTCAATATCGCAATAAAAAAAACATGACCTTTAAAAATAGACTAACATGGCCAATTCAACAAATCACGCACCCCACTTGGCCCAATGGTTAAGAGCTTTATTTCCAACAAAAAAATCTTGAGTTTAAGGCCTAGCACATATGGGTGCATATGTGAGTTTAAAAAAAAATTCCTTCAACAAGTCACCAAACAGTTTGCTTCAAAACTTCCTACAAAAATCTTGGATACAACATATATTCTTCGGTGTTAAATTCATCCCTTCCATTCAAGGTCTTCAATATCGCAATAAAAAAAACATGACCTTAAAAAATAGACTAACATGGCCAATTCAAAGGATCCCATCACCCCTCAATCACATACCCACCATTCTTGATGGCACCCCACTCAATACATCACTAAATATCATTCTAGATATCCACCTCCAATACCTTGCCATCCCAAGGCCCAATATTGCATTTGTTCTCAACAAACTCTCTCAATTCATGTGTCAGCCTGCCACATACTAACCGGAGTGTTGCCAACAGGATTACTCTATCTTCATGCCATCATTCATCATGGGTTATTTCTTCATCGCAACTCACCACTATCACTAAATGGATTCTTTAATGTCGATTGGACAAATAAAATTACCAATTGGACCGCCACAAGTGTTCATGTTATCTTTCTTGACCTCAATTCTATCTCATGGGGTTCCAAGAAACGGTGCAATATTGCATGTTCCTCCATTGAAGCCAAATCTCGTGCCAATGCCTGTATCACAGCCAAAATCACCTTATTGCAATTTCATGAATCATCATTCTTCTACCCACTACACCCACAAATCTATTGTGATAATATAAGTGCTACCGACATGTGTGCAAATCAATTATTTCATCCGCACTTAAAGCGTGTTGTTATTAACTCCCACTTTGTCTAAGAAAAAGTTCATAATCGAAGCATTAATTTCTACCATGATCCATCTAAACATCAACTTTTCCATGCACTGACCGAGCCTCTCTCTTGTCCGTGCCTTGATCGACTTTAAATCAAGATTGATGTCTTCTTATAGGGCTCCATCTTAAAAAAGCATATTGGAAGAATAAAATAATTACCCTTTTTTATGTATTTTCTCATTTTATGTGTGTGTGTGTTTTTTTGTGCCCTTTTTTATGTATTCTCATTTGTGTGTGTGTGTGTGTGCACATGTGTGGGTGGGTGGGTGAGAGCGCACGAGTGTGTGTGTGTGTGTGTATGTCTATATATATATATATATATATAAAACAAATCCTTTTTTAATTTATTTTGCAATTTACACAAGTACCAAAGTTTTGCCCAATACATAGTTAAAATGGTATAAAGTAATCCAAAAGCTAGCATCATAATTTTTTCAAAGCTAATTTTGCAAAACAATCTTTTTCAAAAGCTAAATGTGCACAAGAGAATTACAATAAAAGTCAGTTGTTAAGGCCACCTATTCTACAAACACCCAACCACCCTACTTGTCTACCAACCAAATCAAGTTCCCACCAACATCAAACAGTTCACAACCAACCCTCCTATTTAGCCTGCAACTTTATCATATCTATACATTCAACCTCCACTCTCTCATATGTTCTTATTATTGTGTTAGTATTGTTTGGGTTGTTCCATAATTCCAAACTTTATCTTCAATGGCTTATCATTATTTTCAAAATATGTCATGACATAGTTGATTGATATTTTTAATTTGATCTTTCATCAATGATGTTTTTGGCTAATCGTATTCACTGAAATGTATGTTATATTCTATCACCAAGTATAAAGTGCATCTTCTATAGAAATAAAAACATTTATCATATTAATGGAGTCAGAGGCACCAAATAATTGATTTTAAGCCTTACTAATGGATATGAAAGTTGGGTATTCATTTACACAAAAACTGAATATCGCATTCATGTGCTTGTGAACATTATAATATTAAGTTCTTAAAGCACTTCGAATGATATTTTAATCCCCTAAAATATTGAGCCAAGATATTGCATGCGTTAGTCAGCCAGGATAGGGAAGCTAAGGAGATGGTTTTTATCCATGTTAGAGCTCTTCCATGTCATTTTAAGTACATAATTGATCAAACTCATATGATTAATCAGGCTATTGGTTCAACATGATGTTCTACATAACATACCTCATTTACAAGTATCTAGTGCCCCCTAATTTTGTGGCATGTTGTTGAAGAATAATGAGGATTGTATGCCATATTCCTTAAGGTACAAAAAGCTATATGGTTATAATTATAGAAAGAAAATCAAAGGCTAGCTATAAGTGATGGTAATGAAGCTCAAAATTATAATGTGGAACATCACTTTTCCTTGTTTAATTAACGTCAACGAAACAAAATCATGTGTGCTACCCTTCTGCTGTGAACAATGATATCTTGAAGAGCCAAGGGCAGGCTGCTGAAAAGTGCTACAAAAACAGGTATGTCAATGAGAAGCACAAATTGTATTGCGCACTTGAAATATTTTTAAAATTGAGGTGTTGGATCTTAGAAGTACAAAGAAGCTAAATAGCGTCACAAAACTAGGTCTTCCTCTTAAGTTGCATTCGAAAATGTGAGAAACAAAGTTCAAGATAGAACGAACATGCCCTTACCCGCGTTAAGGTCCTACAAAGGCTTGGCGCCAAACAAGTGCACTTGGAAGCTACAACGAAAGAGACACCGCAGCAAAACACATGCAGACAACGAAGGATAAGAATACAACAGTTCGCAACACCCCGCCCAACCACCCAAAATCCCACCAATTATCACCAACTAATAAAAAGGAAAAGAAGCCTATTTATTTCAAACTAAAGAATAATAATCCTTAAAAAGAAAAGGTAGAAGAGAAAAATAAAATGCGCTCAATGATGCCAGTACAGCTGTAGATCTGAATCAAACCAGGGTCTCGTGATTGTTCTAGATGTCAGTAAAAGAACAATGTCTCTAAAAAACGCACGAAGCAGAATTCCTTCAAACGGGTTCCACGCAGCCTGCTACTTTGATGAGGAAAGAAAGGAGCACGATGGAGTGCTAACATTGATAAAGTAACAACGAGAGATCTGCAATGGTGAGCTAATTGGCTAATATAACAAAACGAATGCCCAAGCTGCGTACTCTCTCCTCCCAAGTGCCAGCAGAAAACCTATCATGCTTCAAACAATAACCCGATCCCCCAACACAACAAAATGCGAGAAGACGGAACCAAAACAATCATTCTAAAAAACAATTGAGCCTAGCCCCGTATGACGTTAAAAACCATTTGCTTCGTGCCAAATAACTAAAATAAGAGTCGAGAGGCTGGAACACTCATTATAAAGTAGCAGAGATGCGTACCCCATGAGGCCGAGATCGGCGGCGTTTCCGTGAGAGTAGAGCAGCGTCGACGAGGCCATGGGGTTACGAATATAGACTGCAACGATCTCTGTTCCCCGTCGCGTCGGTAGCTGCATCACTTCCACATTTTCACGGTGTGGGAACCGGCTAAGCGTAATCAGACCCGTCACTGACTCCTTCACTAGCTCGTAAGTAGGCGGGCTGGGTGGGAAGAAGGCCAGCTTCGCCGCCATCGATGAGGTCACTCCCCCCATTTTCTCTCCCTCGCTCGCTCTCTCGGCTTACTTGCAGTTCCACTGAGAAGTGGAAGAAAACAAAAGTGGCTCCGGTAGCCTAATTTTTTATAAATAAATTTATCTTTATGTTACATGAACTATAAATTAATTTTTTTTTTTTAGTAGATAATGAGCGAAGGAGTTATCACGGCCTTGCATAATTAAGATAACGGTCGTTTAAATATATAGCATTTAAACACTATTATTTATAAATTTAGCACCCTCTTCCATCCATTTTCTTAATTCTCCCTCTTATTTCCAATTTCTTTTTCATTTTTATTAAATTTGCAATAATTTGACCGCAAAAATATATTAATTCGATAGCTCAAAAATACGAGATTGTTAATTTTGTACATAATAATATTTTGAGTGCTATGTTTGTAATTATCCCTTAATTTGATGAATTTGATTAAAAATAATTATATAGCTTATAAGATTTAATTTGAATTAAAGTGCTGTTCGCTGCTATATATATAATTCAAAAATCAGATTATCTCTCCTTAGAACTCAATCATAAATCTCTGTGCAATACATACATTGATTTTAAGTATTATATATAATTATTTATAGCTTAAAAAATGATTTAACTTTCAATAAAATATATGCATGCAATTTTGTACAACATTATTTCGAGATTGGTAGCGTGTGTAATTGTGTGTATCTAATTTGATAGTATTTCTCTTGTTGAAACAAAATTATATATTATATGAAATGTATACGTCGGATCCCTTAAGGACATATGATTACATATAGAGGTGTCAAAAATTGACTCGATACACCAACTCGAGTGGAACGCAACTCGAAAAAACTTGTTTAAGGTTGACCCGAATAATTTTTGGGTCAGGTTCCGATTAAAGATCCTAACATCTTTAATTTTTCAGCTAGAGTTTAGGTTGACCTGTCAATCCAAAAAAGACCCACCAACTTTAAATTGACTTGAAATCGACTAGCCAACCCGGAATTGACCTGAAATTGATCCAATTTTTAACCCAACTAACGGTTATTCCATATGTTAACCAAGTTTTACGAGTAGTGTTTGGGTTGAAGGCAGGTCAGGTTCAAGTTGTGATTTTTTGCTCGTGTAATATTCAGGTTGGGTCAATTTTTGTGTCCGACCTTAACTTGTCCCATTTACCTAAATTGACACCCTAATCCCATATAATTCGTGAGCTTATGCAATTCGGAAGAGATCTTGTGAAAGACGCGGAAGGTAACTGAGGAATTTTTAGAAAGAGAGAAAGAGAGAGGGAGAGTAAAGAAGAGCTCGAGACAAACCCCACACTTTTCTCCCCTTTTACTCATATTTATATACCACAGAGACTTTGTTTCGGTGCAAAGGTCTAAAGAATAAAATAAAAACCTATGTCATATGTTGTACAGTATGGAGCATGAGTAGACTTATGTGATAAGATAATTGGAAAGAATGTCATGCAACCAATAAATGAACATATAAATGATGATGGACTATAGTTCACTTTCTTCTCCCTCAAAGAATTATTTGTTGAGCTCAGTGTTACAGCCAGGTAGTTATCAACAAGCTTGGTAGAAGGATTCATCTAGTACATGCGAACTTAAAAAAATATTGAGAGAATGCAAGTGAGCTAAACTGGAGGAGCTCGCCCAAAGGTTTATGGTCTATGAGATCGATTGGAGGAACTCGCATGAACGCTGACGAGCCTCGGAGGTACTCGTGAGTCCTTATAGGAGATAAGAAGCCCGACAGTTTTCCATCTCCAAAAGTATGACTAATGAGTATGATTTGTACGAACAAAACCATACCATTAAGTGCATGATCAGTGGGTTCGATCCATTAGCCGCATGAGGCCCATGAAGTACTTTGATTTTTTGTTGCTTAAAGAAACTCATTTTTTTATATAGATTTAGTTCTTTGATAGCTTTAACATTTTAACAGGATACTGCAAGAAGAATTAGAGAATAAATTACCTCTACATATGCTTAAGGGATGAGAGGATAACAGCAAGCATTTTGCCCTGTCGGGTTTGTCCTGAGACATATTTGTTCATATTCAATCAAAATGGTGTTTTCTACCACTAGCTATTCCTTGAAGAGTAGCCACAGTATTTCACTATTGAGCTCAAACTTTCCTTCCTCTAGGAGCTTAGAAGCTACCTTTGCAAGGAGTATTCTTGAATACGCTTGAGTAATAATGGACTATTTCTCATTCAAGAGAGCATTTGCTTTTTAATTATTCTTTTTTTATGACCCAAATGGCATAGAGAAGGATTTCTTATTGATTATTCTTGTTGAGTTAACCTGATCAAAAGTGCATGTTGTCATGGAGGTGTGACTTGTTTTTGTCACTAATAGATATGCACTCCTAAAGAATGGTGGAATAGAGTATGAAGAGTTCGAGACTTCTATGTTATGAAGGGTATGTTGGTGTTATTGTGCTAAGATTGTTACAGACTAACTATCAAATCATTTGAAATAGGTATCAAATTGACATTTGTTTTGCCCGTCAATGCATTGTTACCTTCTCACAAAAAGAAAATCACATTGGTAACAACGAGATTAATTTCAACGGTTATAATAAGAGTTTATCATGTTAACTCCATGTGTGATATTAAATAGTTGTGCAAGTTCTTGTTGAGACTTGCAAGATCCTACTTATGCTCATTCCCTTTGTTGTCAAGAATCTACTGTTACTTTGATCTTGGTCTGAAGGCAAAAATTTTCAAAGAAGAAACGGGTGTCTCGATGGAACTGTTGAAAGCAATCATGCAGCAAAGACTGAAGAGAGAGAAGCATTCTTAGAGTTCCCATGATTTGAAAGGAAAGAATGGTGATGTAAAGAACCCAAAGCCTATTGAGGCAAAAGAATGATCAGACAGTCCTGTGGGGAGCATAGAGACCCCAATTATAGTTTTGGAAGTCAATATGAATGAAATGACTCCAAAAAAAAGCTCATGTCGCTGGCCATAGAGCCTACTCATAGTGAGCCAACAATTGTTGTTCTAAAAGCTATTATTGGGGGAAAATTTTATGTTCTTCTGAAAGACTTGAGAGGTTCTAATATATTTACGCTTCTATTGTCAATTTCTAGTAACTAGGTGCCACTTTTCTATATATTTTCAAGTTTTAACTAGTTATTGATCTTGATACTCTAATGCCTTGTTTTGAGAAATTGGTTGACCATCGACATGACTTGAATCCAGTGACAATTCTCAAGAATTTTGCTATTAAAGATGTTAATAGAATGGAAGATCGAGATTTGGCTGACTTCTGACGAGCTCACTCCTAAAGGTTATATCAACTATCTTTTTCTTATTGTGACAAAAATCTCATACTTCATGATTGTTTCTTATTTGTATATGAAAGGATTGTAAAGAAGATTGATGTAGGTGAGGGTAGCCTCATGGAAGTGAAGTTTTTTGCCTCTAAAGGACAAACTCCTCTAACGAAGGAACCAATGGACATTGCTAAGAATATACCATTGGTAGTGGATACTATAACTACTTCTTTGACTATTCGTGGTGTCAACTTCTTTGACCATGTAGGCCACTTGAGAAGTGAGTTGTTTCAACTTGTAAGGAGTTGGAAAAGACCAATGAGGAGCCCGTATGATCTTGGGAGGATCTCGTAGTAGTTCTAAAGGAGTTGGTGGTTGCAAAAGATAAGATAGTGCACCTTAGAGATAGATTGCTCAAATTTCAGATCATGTCATGGATATAGAAGATGACTTGTTGAGAGCCAAGGAGCATGACTTTTCTTTAGAGAATAAGTTGACAAAGAGCTTAATGAAAAATCAAAAGATTTGCAGAGAGTTATAAAAATTAAGGTCATTGTTGTTACTCCTTTGTCTTTGAGTTGAATTATCCCATTTTGTGCAGTTTCTTGCAGAAGACGGTCAATTGTGAAGAGACGTGTGCTGTCTGGAAAAATTGCTCTAATCGATGTGAAGAATCACGATATGGGTATATTCTATAAGGATTGTGATTGTATTTTTTTATTTTTCATTTTATGTGTAATGTTGTCTGACATTAAATATTTTAAGCTTTTTTATATGAAGAGGATGTCTTGGATAGTCTTTGATATCACGATATGTGCAAATAGTTCATGATGGTGAATAATTTAATATGAGATAACCTTTCAATCTTCAAACGGTCTTTGACCTATTGCACTTTTACATTTATAGATAATATTTATGTTTTTACCCCTATGATTGCATAAGAGGGTACAACTTGGGGGCTCAAAAGCTACTCCTTCAAGGTTTTCTTGCTGCCTAAGGGGTTCCAATCTGTTTCATAAGATAGTTGATTATTCCTTGGTTATATACCTAATCTATCTTATTTACAATAATAATTTATTCATATCCTAGTATGTAAGCAAGTCTTTTCTACGTGTACACACTATAAAATGAATCAATGAAAGTAATTGGACTGCATAGCTTTTTTTAAATTTTTTGTGCAAGATGATTTTATTTTGTATGCACGAGTGTGGTCACATTGCCACTTTTTAGGGATAGATTATTTTAAGGTCATCTCTGCTACACGTCTTGTGGAATTCTATGTCAAGATATCTAATTAGTTTGTACACATATATAGCAACTTGTTCTCTAATGATGTAAGCCTAGTCCACAAAGGATCAAGTTTTCAAAGTGCTTGATTGCAAGATATGTCATTAATCATGTTTATGACCAGATCATTTTCTTTGAATAATCATTCCTTGACACATAAGTTATAAGACATTGAGGTCCTTCTTTTGACTTTCTCTTACCATAATGAGAAATTATATTGAAGTTCTCTTACCACTAAGCATGTATACCATATTCCACTAGAAGAAGTACGACTTCAGTTCCATGTGACAAAACGAAGGGATTTTACCTAATACAAGTGGAGGGTGTGGTGCATGACGCCCACAATAGAGAGGGTAAGATTTTAGTTCATTATTCTTTCACTCCTTTTATCTTTTTTAGAAGATTAAGGATAAATTTGTTGGCAACTTCTACTTGTCCATTAGTTTTTGGATAATGTATTTAACTGTACTTGACTTATACATCTTGCTCGTTATAAAAGCTCTTAACCTTT